CCGGCTCCCAGCCCGCTCCCGGCTGCCTCATTAACATTCCCTTCCCCGCTTGCCCACTGGCACAGTCTAATTGGAATGCAGAGAGAAGAAAAGTCTATCATTTAATGTAAGCTCAGGATGAAGGCAGACAAGGAAACAAACCTCTCTTGTATTTTTTCCTTTTTTCCGCCTCAAATTGCATTACTTTCTGTTGTATTGTCTTTTAAAGCACGCTGCCCTCCTTTCGTATATGCAGTCCTTCTCTGGTAGTAATTGGATCGCTGCTGGGATTCATTCCCATTGATTTCAGGTTTTCCAGTACAAGTAGAACAGGACAGGCTCAATAATTAAAGATAAGGGTTTATATTTAGTGTACCCTCATTTTGCATTGTTAACTCGGAAATAATTAAATAACGCTGGCAATAATATTTCAGCCCTTTTTCTGCATTTTAAACCAATCCTCACCTATCTCCTTTCCTTTCAATCTCTAAACTGCCCAAAGCACCATCTCAATTATTCTCTCTTAATGTCACTGGCCCGCTTATTGTGTTTAACTGAAATTATTCTGATGAAGTTTGGTCCTGAATCAATACCACTCCCAACATGAACATGTGAAATAGGATGCACAGACATGGAAGGGGTCGGGGGGAGTGGGGGGACAAGGAGGGAGGAGAGGGAAATAGGAGGGAAGGAGAAGTAGGAAAAAAAAATAAGAAAAAAATTCTTAGGTTACCTACTGAATTGGGTGTTCCTGCTTCCTAATTGTTGTAGTTTGCAGTTGGTGGTGTCCTTGTTTCCTTCTCCTTTCATGGTTTAATGACTCCACAGTAGAGGATGAGAAACAGAAAAAGGAAGAAAAAAACTTGGGCAATCAAGACCATTTGTTCCTTCCAACTTAGAGATATTTTGTAACTTGGAGTAAGACTGAGAAGAGAGAGGGAATAATCTCAATGTCTTTGTTTTAGAATAACCTGTAAAATGACAGCCAAAACTATGGAAAATGACAAAGATAAGGACAGAGGAGCAAAAGCTGAAATCTGAAAAACACTCTTTCAGCAGCCATCTAACACTGGCTGTGTCCAAGACACAAGGCCCTCATGTCTCCATGTACAGATGTGAAAATGTGCTCTGTTCACTCTCAGTTAGGTATCTATGGTCAGTCCAAAGTCTTCTTTGGATTGCCTGTAAGCCCCACACATTAGGAATTAATAACTGATACTAGATGCAGAATCAACCCTCACAGTAAAGGAAACTAGTTTTAGCTACTTGTCCTAAGAAAAAGTGACTTCACAGATATCAAAATGGAGGGAGAAAAAGAATCACTGAAAGTGAAGTCTTCATGATTTATTCTTATATGAAACACATTATGTAATCCAAGCAGAATGATTTTTTTTCCACAGGTATTCATGCCATTCCTTTTCAAAGCACACTTCCAGTAATAATAATACTGAAGCTATCATCTAATTTTCAAATGTAAGTTGCATCAAAAAATTTTAAAAAACACATTCATTAAGGAGAGCAGTCACAGGGGCTCCTTGTTGCTGTAATAGCAGATTGTCACTCCTCAAAGGCCACACAGGGTAGGTATGTATTTATGCTGAGCTTGTGCTCGTAGATTTTCCCAAGGAAAATGTGCTAGTTTTTAGGCTCTAATCACAATTACCCATGATGTTCTTTGAGATTTACCATAGCTTCATGCATTGAAGTCATGCTTCAGATTAAACTTTTTAAATAACCCCTCATACCCATTTTAAACAAGTTGGACAGGCCTGTGAGGCATCCCAAATCACAGGAAAGCTAAGTACAGGGACAAACTATGTGGCAACATGAAAAATCAGAGGCAATATAATTACTAACAGAGAGAAGGGTTTTTCTGGTAGGCTCACATACTTACAGCCTGTGCTGCTGGTGAACTGCAAAGTATTTGGGGAGAAAGCTGTGGTATTGCTGGGCTGTTTTTGCTTTGTTGTGTTACATGCAAACATAGCTCAAATGTGTTAGCTCTAGGTGGTTAGGAAAAGTGTGTTTGAGCCCCCTCAGGTGCACAGTCAGCAGGGAACCTTTCTTCCCTTCTGCATTATTATTTCTGGTATGGTATTGAATGCTGTCTTTCATTATTGAATTTCAATTAACTCTAAGTGATATGCAGCGTCCATCATGTCACCAGGGTTTGTGAGACTCCCCTGAGTCCTGATGCAAGCACCCTGGAAGATGGGGAGCCATGGCCTTGGTTTGAATAGGACTTGAAATAGTACATAGAAAGGCAGCAGGTCTCCAAATTGTTACTTTCAAAGTATAAATAAAATATTTTACTTAAAAGGCTTTATTTCTTTTGTGTTATATTTGCTGCAATATATAAATAGAATTCAATCCCTATTTGGATATTTAAAAAATCTTAAAAACAAACAAAGGACCTTACAATCCTATTATTCCCCTCGCCAAGGATCTCAAAACTCTGCACAGGCTGATAAACGATGTTTCAGAATTCTTTTGTGAGACTGGAATGACTTCCTCTGTGACCACAAATTGAATAGCAGGGTAGGTATGTGACATTTCATAACCATTTCTTAGAGTTTAGAGGTAATAGAAACACAGGAGAGGTTAAGCCAAGGCCTCAAGTCATTATCCAGACTGAAAAACACTAGATTGAATGCTTCCTTTAAAATTGTGCTTAAAAGAATCATCTATATGACAAAGTTACACCATCCTTCAGACAAAATAAATTACTCAAAAAAAATACCTCCAATTTGTAGCCACTAGGGAGGTCCCAGTAATCATTTTCTGTCATGGACATAATCAAGTAATGCAAAACAGAACTTAATACATAATTCCGATCTGGAGTACATTCTGCAGTATAGCATTTCCAGAAAAAAAATTGGCAGATTGAGGTAATCAGCATTTACTTTGTACTGCTTGAGAATAATCCCCACCCTTATATCTAGGCCAGCAGCACTCTGAGCTGTAAGGATATAAACAGTAATCACTGGAGTTAAATGATGTGATACATATGTGTGAAAATTGAAGTGATATATCAGAAATTTTTGTATGTGATAAGTGGATATTTTTAGTATAAATTCTGCTTTTTATAAATATTCTTATCTCTAAAAAGACATAAAGCATATTTAAATATATTAATTTTCTGATAGACTGTTTCATCCTTTTAAAATTTCTATTTCCATTAATTAAATAGTTAAATATAAGCTCAAGTGTTGATATTTATATCCAAGACATAATTTCTATGTAATTTTAAACATGTATGTTATCTTATTTCTGTAAATAATGATGAAATAAAATGCTGAGGGGGGGAATTAGTTTTTGACCCTAGACTGGCTCATCATAGAGGTACATGACTCCTAGTCTAAGAAAAAAGAAGGAAGAAGCTGGCTTTTTTCAGGAGCCCCTTAAAACCATGATGGAAATCAGATTTCTGTAAGAAGGTTCAGGTGTCCAAAACTCATCCTCCTTATGCAAAATTGCAGCACAAATTTCTAAGAGTTGAAATTATTTTGAGATGCGCCATCCATTACTAGATGCTAGTATAACAAGGAAACACAAAAAATTCTTCCAACTTTGCGGAGTACCCACCATTTTAAGTGTCTGAGTAACTTTTCAATTTGACTGAGTCACTTTCAGATTGGGAAGGGTTTCTGTGCTTGTCCAAAACTCTGGCTCTCATAGTCTTCCTCACTGAAGAGCAAGAGCAGAAGCAGAGGGCCGGTGCCAGTTTTATTTCAGCTGTGTGTAGTCGGCTTTAAGTTGCTTTCCAATGTGCCCTGAGAAGTTCAGCAGAAATGAGCTTTCCCACCTTAAATATTGATGAATGTTTCTTCTTTCCCAGGATTATACTTCTCCCAGATTTGAACCTTAAATACCAGATGAGGATTTTTAGCTTTCTCCAAACACAAAGATATCTACAGAAGGAGTGAGCAGAGAGTCTTTGCTGTCTATCAGGAGTAGTGAAACTTTCCTCATCCTTTTAGACTAGATCTTCCTTGGTGGGAGAAATGCAGGACAAGCGACAGAGGGCAACGTAACACATTTACCAGCTGGGACAGGAAAACTCCAGTAAATAGAACTGGCTAATCACTCTGGGTCTGAGTTGAGAGGGAGATCTGCTTTTATAACAGCAACACTTTTCTTCATCTGCAAATCCCTGTTTTTTGTTGTATAGCTTACAGCAAAATGAGACCTTTGCTTGAATAGACAAGGC